ATCATTATAAGTTGGAACATAATTAATCCATTTCAGTTTATCTTTATACAATTCCATAATTTGTACTGTTTTTGAAGGAATTTGAACTATACATTTTTCTTGAATTTCTATAGTTTCATCATCTTCATCAGAATCATCAGATACGAAATATGTATCATTTTCAGAGTCAGAATCAGATTCTTCAAATTCAAAGTTTCTCATTTCTTCAAAAAGTCTAAATTCTTTTTGAAATTCAGATATTTCATTAATCTCATCATAATTCATTTTTAATTTTATTATTTGATAAAATATCTTAATTCAAAAAAATTAAAAATGAATTAAATAAATTTCTTTATATAATAAATGAATACATATTATAAAGTAGATTACTGTCAACTATTTAGTCCTATAATACTTGAACTAGATAAAGAAGAAGAAAGAATTAGACAAGAAGAAGCATTTGAATTACAATGAAATTATAATGAAAGGACAATGATAATAGAATATAAATATAATAAAGCAATAAGACTAGGAGAATTAGGAATAGAAAAATTATTAGAAGAGAAAAAGAAATGTTATGATAAACGAATGCAAATAATAGAATCATACAATGAAAAATTTAGAGAAATAAAAAGAAAGAGAAAACAGATAAAACAATCATTAAAAGAAATGCTTTTCAAAAATAAAAAAAGTCATGTGACGTCATGCAAGAAAATCACGTGACATTTTTCGACAAAAAATAAAAATTTAACACTTATTTAAAAAAATTCAATTTTTTTCATTTTTAAAAATTGAAAAATTTTATTTCTTATCTAAATAATTTATACACAACATGGATAACATTGAACCATATATTAATATTAATATATGGTTGAAAATATGGTTGAAAATGAAAATGAGGGAGAAATCTCCTTATATAACCATATTTTTTATATTGAACCATATATTAATATTAATACATGGTTGAAAATATGATTGAAAATAAAAATGAGCCAGAACTCTCCTTATATAACCATATTTTTTATATTGAACCATATATTAATATTAATACATGGTTGAAAATATGATTGAAAATAAAAATGCTTTGTTTGATATTTATGATCTATAATAAAGAAAAGGTCTTGAAAAATATTTGGTAGCAATTGATATTTTAATCTAAACATGAATATTATAAATACTTAATTGGTAAACATTCAGCACTCCAAGCTTTATAAGCAGTGGATTGGCACTGGTGTATTTATAAGCATTTAATATAAGGCGGCTTGCTTTTGTTTTGATTTTTTAGGAAACGCGTTAGTCTTGACGGATAAGTGCTTGCCCATGCAATGTTGTAATAACTAATATAGCTATGAATAAATGAAAAGTAAATAGATTTCAAGGGTTGAATTAACGCATCGCGATTTGCGATATCTGTTAAATTATCTGGTCTTCAAAGTTTCACTTTATGGAAAACCACGAAATTTACGGAATAGGTAAATAAACTTTAATTTGTTAGTGAAAATGTTATGAAAAACAAAACAATAAATTTATGACTACAAAAGTAATAATACTACAGTGTTGTTACTTTTATAACACTCTTTTATGTTACATTTATAGTTTATTGTTTGATCAAACAACACCTAATCAAGATATTATAAATAAAAATGATTTAATTAAGTAATTCCAAACTTTAATTAAAGTAGTAATGCATCTAAAAAAAATACAATGGATATTTAAACAATGTTAAAAACCTTAGCAACTTTTACGAATACATATTTTTATAAACAGTTTAGCATTTCTAAACATCTTACTAACGGTCCGGAAAAAACGCGCGTTCACTTTAAAATCAACCAATAAAAACACTGGTAGTTTACTTCTTAGGAGAAATCTATATTTAAAGGGGAGGGGGGGGGGAGGCTATAAACTTAAATTTTGTTTTATTATTTAATCAATTAAATCATAATAAAAGTAAAGACAAAAAAATATATTTCTAAATATACTTCTTTATAACTAAAATTTATTAAATTGAACACCTCTGTGTTTAGTTTTAAGTAAATGTCAGTACTACTCTCAGTGGCAAAACTGCGGGGGAGGGGGGGCTTTGGTTAACAGACAAAAAGTGTCCTGATTTTAATTTAATTTTAGGTTGCATGGGCGATATGGGGCTGATTTTGAAAATCGTGTTATTTGTTTATAACAAGTCACTTGTTATAAACAAAAAACTATATCTCAAAACAAAAATTCAGTGAAAATTGGCCTTAAAATTAAAAAAAATATATATTGGTAACCGATAAATAATAAAACTTTCATTGTAAATCCTCCCGCTTTTTTTTATTATTTACTCCTCCCATTTTATATATCCTGACTAAAATTCTCACCCCCACCTACCTATGTATAAAGCACATTAGAGTAGTCAGTAGCAAAATTCCCCCCCCTCCTCCGCACGATTTTTAAAATAAGCCCCAAATCGCCCATGCAACCTAAAATTAGCTTAAAAATAGGACATTTTTGTCTGCTACCCCCCTTCCCTCTGCAGTTTCGCCACTGAGAGTAGTACTGACATTTACTTAAAACTAAAAACAGAGGTGTTCAATTTAATAAATTTTAGTTATAAAGAAGTATATTTAGAAATATATTTTTTTGTCTTTACTTTTATTATGATTTAACTGATTAAATAATAAAACAAAATTTAAGTTTATAGCCTCCTCCCCTCCCCTCCCCTTTTAATATAGATTTCTCCTAAGAAGTAAATTATCAGTGTTTTCATTGGATGATTTTAAAGTGAACGCGCGTTTTTTCCGGACCGTTAGTAAGATGTTTAGAAATGCTAAACTGTTTATAAAAATATGTATTCGTAAAAGTTGCTAAGGTTTTTAACATTGTTTAAATATCCATTGTATTTTTTCAAGATGCATTACTACTTTAATTAAAGTTTGGAATTACTTAATTAAATCATTTTTATTTATAATATCTTGATTATGTGTTGTTTGATCAAACAATAAACTATAAATGCAACATAAAAGAGTGTTATAAAAGTAAAAGCACTGTAGTATTATTACTTTTGTAGTCATAAATTTATTGTTTTGTTTTTCATAACATTTTCACTAACAAATTAAAGTTTATTCGTCTATTCCGTAAATTTCGTGGTGTTCCATAAACTAAAACTTTGAAGACCAGATAATTTAACAGATATCGCAAATCGCGATGCGTTAATTCAACCCTTGGATTTTAAACAGTTTTTATCCAACATTTATCTAGTTTTATACATAATACCAATACTTTTTGAAATTTTATTTTCTACCAGGTTAATATGCTCTTTCCAACTTATTTGCTCATAGATTAAAACACCTAAGAGTTTAACACAGAATGTCCGTTGCAATTTGTTTTTTTCTATTAAAATATAAGGGAGTTTTAATGGCGAAGTGTCAGATTTAGAAGATTTAGAAAAGAAAGTACATTTGCTTTTGGTAGGGTTCAGAGAGAGATTTTGGCTTTAAACCACTCATTAAGGTTATTTAGTTCATGATTTGTAGTGATAAAGATTGTCTTAATGTTAGAGTGAGTATAAAAAGCTTGATTGTTGTCAGCAAAAAGATTGAAGTTTAGTATACTAGATGATGAGTAAATATCGTTGATATAAATAATAAACAGTATAGAATAGATCCCTGTGGAACTCCGTACGTGATGTCTTCTAATTTAGTATAGGTATTGTCATAAGAAACACATTGTTTGCGATTTTGAAGGAACAAAATCATTTAAAATTATTATTTTTGACTCCATAACTAAGGTCAGCGCTAGCATATTCATCGGACCACATATCAAGAAAATCATTGAATGTGAGGATTTTACAAAGCTATTGAATAGGACGGAGTAAGCGCCTTAGAGCAGTTTGGTGCAGTAGTTCAGGGCTTCCCAGGCAACCACAAAGCTGAAAACTGTGGAGTTAGTACAAACTAAAATAAAAAATTATGTCAAAATGGAATGCGAAGCAAAGATATGGATTTCAGAATGTGTCTGAAAGTCAATATCTTTGATTCGCATCTCAACAAATAAAAGTAAAACATGGACGTTTACTCCGAGGAGCTTGAGCTTAATGAAGTCATTTTTTCACATACTTTAGACATAAGCAATTGAAATATAACGCTTAGAAGCCAGAAACAAAAATTGTGTTACATTATGTTATTTTATTAAGCATGTATGACGTTATTATAGTGAAGTTCAAGATAATTCAAATTTTTGGGACTGCCATCGAGTTGAAACTGAAAACTCTTCTTCAACACTTTCATATTAATGCTTTATATTATAACACAAATTCTGAGCATCTGTGAGTCATTTACCATGTGCTTGGAGTCCACGTTCGGCGGTCTCCCAGCACGTGGTAAATGACTCACAGATTCGTGAATTCAAAATCGCCGGACTAAGTTAACTGTTGTCTTTTTACATGGTAGTTTTTTAAGATCAAAATAACGAATGTAACCCCTCTGCATTAGCACGATGAATTCTCTATTTCCAGATAAAATTCGATTATTTTAATACGTTGTTCAGTTGTGTATGTCTCGATATATATTATATTTTCAACGATTACGCTTTAATAACCTGAAACCTAAAAATAAAATTTATTAATTGTAGACGGCTATTTTTTAGAAGTATTTATAATAGTCTAGTGCCTTTTAGGCCCCCCTGTACTGAATTTATGTTGTTGTATTATATTGACACCCTGTCAATATTTACTATTGTTGAGCTCAAAACTCATTGTACGGGTGCGCAGTATTATTTCTAACTTATTCAACTACTACAGAATCTGTATAACATAGAACGTAATACAGAAACTGTATAACCACATAAAAAAACTATGTAGACAATTAAGTATTGACAACACCGATTCTAATTGTAGGGATAACTCGGAAAGTTTAATTCAAAATAAGATTATAATTGATTTGAAAACACCGTTTTTAGGTGTTGTCATAACCAATAATGTTTAATTCAAGATTATATTTGATAAATAATAATTTGATTTTAAATTAAAAAACAAATAAACAAACTTAATCGTTCTCAGTTTTATTTCAGTCTAAACCTGACTTTGACTCCTTGATAAAATTTAAAATTCTTTATTATGGCTTCTTTAACCCTAGAATAAGATTAATCATTGCGATTAGAAGATTAGAAGATAAATTTTCTTTAGAAATCATGAAATGGTTTGCCTCCAATCAATTTGATATTGAAGATAAGATAACTGGACTTGCTTTTCTAGCTTAGCGAGATCTTTAACAGCCGGAGCAAGCTCCTCTAGATGATACTTAAATCCGCTACCTAAAAAGTTTATTAAAGGTTTATCATATATACATAGTTATTATATATTATTTATGTTTTTTATTTATATACTTTTTAATTTATACGTTTTTAGATAATGTATTTATAAAAAACTTAACAAGTATTGCAATTTTAGTTTCAATATGAACTAAATAGAGTCAATTTTTGCTGAATATAAAGGCTATTTACCTAAAGGTTGTTTACCTTTATTTAATTAAATGTCATTTTTAAATGAAGCGTTATTCCATAAAACTTTTTAGTAAAAACATCTGTTTTTTTAGTAAAAACATCTGTTTTAGTTTAAATAACAGGACCGACAAAGGGAGGGGAAGGGAAATGGAGGAGAAGGGGGTGGTGGAGGTGAAGAACCAGTGGGCACCAGCCCCCCACTTTTTTTTATTAGAAGATGGTGTTCCTACACTTCAAAACCCGTGTTGTTCACCCTGAATAACCGCCAAGTATTATAAATGAAAATTTATCTTGAAACTAGAAAATGAGTTTAGACTCAATAAATTATATACCTATCCAGAAAAAGTATTTTTATTAAATATAAAACTTTTCTTTAAATTTTAATTTATCAATATTTACATAATACAACCCAAAAATTACTTGGCGTGAAAATTCAGGTATATTCATTGTCATTTCATTCATTGCAGTAGAGTATTCATTATAGTATCTCTGTAAACAGTAGAGTAGTTACTTAGTGCATCTCTGTAAATAGTAGAGTAGTCACATAGTGCATCTTCGTAAATCAAGAATAAAATAAGGGAACCAGAAAAAGAGATCCAGAAATTCGTTCGTTTCTCAAAAGGAACAACATGTCAAACAAGATAAAAAAAAAAGAATAAACAGTTCGAAAATCAAGGAAAAGAGTAAAGAATTACAAAATTAAATGAGACTACAAAAACTCTCTATGGTTTTCTATGTCTGATGGTTCGAAAAAGATAACCTAAAATGTTAACTATATTTACATATTATAGCATTCTGTTAACCAGCCTCATGACCAGTAAAGGTCAATCCTATTTGTTCAAAATATATGTTGCTTGATATAAGAGCAATCGCAGAGGTTACAAAAAGTTACAGATAAAAAATAAAAAAAAAATAGTAAATAAATACTTTAAAATTCGACAAGTTAAAAAATAAAATTGTAAATTTAAAAAACTTTTATCGGTGAATATATTAAGTTCAGAAAAGTTGTGAAAAAAAGATTAGTTTGTGGCAGACCAAAAGTTATATCATTGATTGTTCTATCAACAAGTTTATCAAAGATCATTGATTGTTCTATCAACAAGTTTATCAGCAAGTTACTTTCTAAAGTGTTTAATCTTAAAACTTAAGTGATCGTGAAACAGTTATATAATGAGAAGTTTTAAGTTGTAAATTTGAGAAATGCATAAAATTACTTGGAATCTAGTAAATTCTTTCGTCAAACGACTTACTCGTTTAAGTCAAATTTTATAACATTATAACACAGATTTGATTGAGATCTATAACACAGCTAGCATATCTACGATTGCGTTCGATAGCGCAATGAAAAAGGTGAAACGGCTAATTGACAAAGGGAATGATCTACGAAAATATCCTGATGCAAAGCGAACTTCTGAGACATATCAAAAAATATTGTCAAGTTTTAGCAAATTGTTTGACATTTGTTCTATAAGTGCGTTAGTGCTGGTATTGCAAATAAAGCAGATTGTAAATGTCCAGTCGACAGAAAGATTCCTCTTATTGAGTGGAATTTCTGGGTTGACCAAAACACTACCAGAAAAAATAGGGATTGGAAATATCGATCCAGTGGTGACAGGTAAACTGCAGAAGAAAGAAAAAGGAAAGCGACTATGTTCCTAGAGAAAACGAAAATGAAAACCGTTAAATGCAGTTCTACTTTTCAAGATTTTGATAATGTTGATATGGAAAAGAGTTCAGAAATTCAAGACACTGGTGGCAGCTCCATAGACGATTCAGATATAACAGACGAGGTGACCAGTTATAGTGATGGCAGCAAATATGCAAAAAACAGAAATCATTATCCAGAACTGTGTAAAGCTACTGATCGCTCTAAATGTAGCAATCGAGATGCCTTTTTAATTGTGAATTCTAGCTTGAAAGACCTCGGATTTCTTTTTCCTGCTATACATAAATGCTATATATCCCAGCAAACTACGCCATCAAAGATCTGCATATCGGAAGAAGTCAGTTGTGAGTCATGTAGAGGAAAATCCAGAAATTGTTTGCCTTGGTTTTGATGGTAAGATTGATGTTACTCTTACACGTGTAGGATCGACTCAACGTAAGTTAAAAAAAGAACATTATGCTTTGGTTTCATTCCCAAGCCGAAACTTCCCATGTCGAACATGTTGCTCCAGCATCAAGCAGATCTGATGACATCTCAAAAGAAATTTTATCGGTTGTTATAAGTACTAAATCAGAAACAACTTTAAGAGCACTCTGCGATGTTAATATAGGAAAAAGTAATGGCATAATCCGAACCAATGTTAATGTAGGAAAAAGTAATGGCATAATCCGAAAAATTGAACAATATCTACAAAGACCACTTCAATGGTTAGTTTGTATGCTGCATACAAATGAATTGCCTTTGAGAAAACTGATAGAAGTTATTGATGGGAAATCTACTGGTCCAAGAACTTCCAAAGGACAATTAGCAGGCGTGATGGAATTTGATCCTTAACATAAACCAATAATTGATTTCTCTCCTGTATCAGGTTGCGTTGCTAAGGTTAATGAGACCGTAATGAGTGACCTGAGTACAGATCAGGTGTACCTGCTTAAAATGTCTGTTAATTCAACGTGGTTACAACACCAGTAACAATTACATTGACTACTCGCAAACTGCTCAACCTGGTGCAGTCAGTCATGCCAGATGGCTAACTAAAGCCAACCGTTTATTGAGGTTGTATGATTGCGAACAATATCCTTCCCATAATCTTCGACGTATGTGTTTCATTCATACTGAACTTTTATTTATAATTATTGTTTATTATTGTTTACTATTATTGTTTCATTCATACTGAACTTCTATGCACCGTCATGGTTTCATATCAAATCTCATCCGACATGCCAAGATGGTGCCAAGAATTTCTTCTTCATGTTGTCGCTTTACCAGAAACATGACAAGCCTGATCAGGAGATTGTTGCGCCAGTATTGCAAAACAAAAGCTACTTTTGCCATCTGGAAAACATCTTGGTGGCAGCTATTGGTGATGATTATAGAAATATCAGGAAATTCGCTTTTGAAAAAATTCTGCATGCTCGAAGTGAACATTCTGATGATAGAATTCGTTGTTTTGACAAAAGCTTGATCAAAATTAACTTCATGTGCAAGTCATACTTAGACATGTCCGACAGGAACAAGGCCATCTTTGCTTCACCTCCACTTCTGGATGACATCACGTCAGAAACAATTGTTAGTCATTCAAAAGTTATTCTACCTAAGTTTCCATGCCATTCGTAAAATGATGAGAGAAATATCAAAGATATATCGGCGGTCTGCGGTAAAGTTTACAGACACGATTGACACCATGGTGTTATCATTCAAATGAAGAAATCGAGAATAGACTTGCCTAGTTTAGAAACTAAAGCTGATTTCCTAACATAAGTAAGACACTTATACTTAACATTTGTATGCTTGATATTTGTAATGCATGCCATGTTGGTTACTTGCTTTATTTTCTTACGAAGATGTGAAATTAGAGACGAAAACCTATATGCGAGCAAGGCTCGAAAGTGCGATAATTTGCAGACTAAGTTGCTAGAAAACGATGATGTATATTGTGAATCAGTTTTTTGTGTAATAGTTACTTTTATATAAAGCACTGATTTTTATTTGTCTCAGACCCTAATTGGAAAAATTGTCCCACCCTAAGAAATATATATATATATATATATATATATATATATATATATATATATATATATACATATACATATACATATATATATGTATATATATATATACATATACATATATATATATATATATATATATATATATATATATATATATATATATATATATATATATATATATATATATATATATATATATATATATATATATATATATATATATAGGCATCTTATGCTATCTTAAGCATTAAAACATCATATACGGTATCATACCATTTATTTCTTTTTTGATGTGACATTTCGGATCATATAGCGAGAGCTAAACTACCTCCGAATAAAAAAAGTCATCCAGGAGTCGACCAGCTTAATTGCACATGTGATGCGTGATATATTGGTGAAACAAGAAAAAAGATTTCTATACGAATTCAAGAGCATAAAAGTAATGTTACAAAAACTAACTGAGATACATCTGTAATAGTAGAACATACACAACAATGTAATGGTAAAATAAACTGGGAGAATCCTAAAACGCTTTCTGTTGTTTTAAAAAACTGCACATTCGTGAAGCCATTGAAATACAGAGTGTGCAATGTTCAAAATCAAAAGAAAATGTTTTAAATAGTGACAAAGGGAATTTGGCAATAACTCACCATTGGAAACCACTTTTTGTTAAATTAAAATTATTGAATATCTGACGTTGTAATGAGATTGTTACGTTCTTAACAGTATTTTAAACGGTTTTTTCAACTGTTTAATTAGTTTGATAATGGCTCTTGCTACATGAGCCGAAATATCACGTAGAAAAAATAAATAAATAGTATGATACTGTATATGATGTTTTAATGCTTTTATTACACATACTATTAAAGATGTCACTTAAATTTAAATTTAAATATATATATGTATATATGTATATATATATATACATATATATACATATATATATATATATATATATATATATATATATATATATATATATATATATATATATATATATATATATATATATATATATATATATATATATATATATATATATACACACACATATATATATATATATATATGTATATATGTATATATATATATATATATATATATATATATATATATATATATATATATATATATATATATATATATATATATATATATATATATATATATATATATAAATATATAAATATATATATATATATATATATATATATATATCCAGTTATCTACTTAAAATTTACCATATCAATTAAAAATTGTACTCTGAACTTAACTAAATTTTTTTTATCTAAAGTGAGTATACTAAACATACCTTTGTTTTGCCTTTTTTGACCATATACTACCTTGCCGTCAAATTCATTAATTGGAACAACCATGTCGTTGGATATTTGAGAAACAGTTTCTCCCAAGTGCTCCTCAATTTCACTCAAATACTGTGAAATAAACAAAAGATATATAACTTATTTGAAAATAAATTAACCAAAATAATTTAACCTTGGTTAAAAATTTTAACTAACAACAAGTTAAAAAACTTTGGAAAAAAAACTTACATTCTGTTCATCGTACCAAATAGCACATCCACCTTCCTTCAAAAGTTTTGTGTTATTGCAGTTAGCTCCACGACTATCACATTTATGGTACCAAACCTACAAATACAAATTAGTTATTCTTTGCAACTACCATCACTAAGGTCATCATAGTCATAATCATCATGATCATGATGATCATTATACTCATCTTCATCGTCATAACTATCATCATAATTGTCATAACTATCATCATAATTGTCATGATCATCATGATCATTGTGATTATTATCATCATCTTCATCATTATCATTATACCTTTTCCTTATATTTTGATACTAGTGATAAAGCCAGTCCCATTCTATAATAAAATAAAAAATTAGGTTTGTTAATTGTTGTTGTAATTGGTTGTTTGTTGAATTGTTTTTAAAACTAAAAGTTTCAATTAAAAAAAACTAAACTAAGATAAAACAAATACAATAAACTAATATATATATATATATATATATATATATATATATATATATATATATATATATATATATTACTAAATTGAAAAATAATATATTAAAATATATATAAATACCAAAATCTGTCTACTATACCGTTCTGCCCTTCCTACTCTGCCAATCCTGTGAACGTAGTTAGCTTTCTCATCTGGCAAAGTAACATTGATAACAAATGGAACACCTTTAATGTCAAGACCTCGTGCTGCAACATCAGTGCAAATTAAAAATTTAACTTTTTTATTTTTAAAAGACCAAAGGTTTTTTGTTCTTTCATTTGGAGTTCTGTCACTATGTAAACATACACATGAGAACTCATTTACATCTTTTGACTTCATGTAACGCTCTAAGTTGTCGCAATCAAGTTTTGTGCGACAAAATATGATACCTTGGTCCATTTTAAGTTTGGAAATAGCTTTTATAACATATTCTCCTTTCAGTACTTTAACTGCTTCAGAAAGACATTCAGGTAATTTAGATGTTGGATGCGTATCATCTTTCAAATGAATGCCATCTGTCTAAAAACAATGATTACCTTTTTTATTTTATCATTATCCTTTTTCATAAATAAATTAAAGTGAAAATATAATATTCATATTTGTTATTTTTATTTGTCTTGTTTGCAACTAAATATAATTAATGGAGCTAGTCTATTGATTTTTATTAACAACTGGTTGAAAACTAATTCTCTTTAATCCTAGAGAACTTTTACCAAATTATTAATAATATACTAATATATGCATAAAAAAATGCGTTTTATGAATTCGAACCTGCTTATAAAGCAGGCACTCTAACCACTGCGCCATGACCGCAAATAAATACAAATAGCAGGGGGAAGAAGAAGACATAATTGGTCTTATCACCAAGCCATAGTTATACTTGAGTTTTAGAACTTGCACAAATTTCACACATTTGAGATAGGCATACTTATGTTTAGAGCTTGTGCAAGCTCCAAACTTAAGTATACCTATGCCAAGTGTAAAAGTGTCCTATCTAGAACATCAAAAAAATCCTGTGGGCGCCCATACACACATAGCACCCCTTATATACTGGCCCTGAGTAAGGGGTATTTCAGGCAACCTATTTTTTGAGCCAACAAAAAACAGGTTTTAGCAGTACAATGGTCAATGGGTCGGAAGCTCCCCCCAAAAAAACGTGTCTCAAAATCTCCCAAACTTTACCGCTAAGTTTTTCTAAAATAAAAACTCCTTAAATTAGCAAAAAAGCACAAAATTTTCTGCCCCCTCCTATCTCCCCTAAATAAGGGGTACGGGTAGCCTATTGGCACTGGTTTTTAGGCTTTGTTTTCGATATTACTGATCTCACCTAGGACTTGTTTTTTATGGACTTACTTACAGACACACTTAGGGGTGCCTAAAAAAACATCTGCCTTAAGTATAGTTTATTTTTATTTGATTTGTCATTAAAACAATTAAAAAAGCGCAGAGTGACTCGACCGGGGTTTGAACACCGATCTCCATAACCGCAGTGCACAGCATTATCTGCTTGACTAAGCGAACTTCATTCATGTGTAATTTAACTTTATTAAATCTAATAATTACATAAATATTTAAAGACATTTTTAAAATTGGGATCTGTGCCGCAATGGCAACAGGGGGAGGGAGAGCAGGCAAATTCCAAAATTTTTTGCGTACGTACTTTATGGATGACCCCTTAGTAAAAATTATTTTTTTCTTTTACATTTTCAAATTTTTTTGTTTTGTTTTCTTAATAAAAAGAATTATTGATTGAAAAACCAGACTTAAAAACAAAAAAATATAGAAACAATTTTTTTCAATTCTTTTAAAGAACTATTTCGATTAATTGTTTATGAAATGTTTATGAAATGTTTCAAAAATATTCCAATCAATTCATGTTTCATAAATTTCTCATTCAAAAAAAAAAAAATTTTTTTTTGAAATTCTTTTATAATTAAAATAGTTCAAAAAAAGTATTTTGAAAGAGTGAGGAATGAGCAATTGGATAGGGTCTGGTAGAGTGTGGAACATTAAATAACATAGGTAACCAAAATACTGAAAGATTCAAAGAAATATGTTATAAAGTTAAATATTTTTTAACTTTAAATCAAGATTTTCAAAAATTATAACACTGTATTTTAGGCAATTTTAGCAACAAAAGTCAAAGACTTTGGTAAAAAGAATACAAAGCAAAAAGTATGAACCTTAAATGATTAGAACAAGAATACAAGATGGTGGTAAATTAGTAGATGTTTGAGGGTGTATTCCCTATAAAAGTATAGGTACAATGAGCAGGTATATTAAATTCATTTGTACAATAAACCATTATTTCAGAAAGAAAAATTAGAACAGTACTTGAAAGCATCTATGGAACCATGTATGAACAATGTAGACATAATTAGGCTAGCTCATCTAGCCTAATGATTCCCTTTCTAGACAAGATTCAAAAACCCATTATAAATATATTTAACCTGCTCTAGTTACCAATCATTGAGCCTCAATTCTTCTACTAATACATCTACTACTAATACATCCTTGGTCATACTTTTAAACAGTAAATTAATAATTGTGTAATAATTAAAAGTTTTTCAAGTGTTTTGTAAAACTTATTCTCTAACTTACCTTAAATAAAATCAAATAAAAAAATCTTAACTCAAAAACAATTAAAAATAACTTCAGAAAAGTTTTAAAAATGGTAAAAACATTGTTAATGAAACCTCATAATCTTAAAATTGTATTATTTTTTACTATTCTATAGAAACTTTATTGCTCTAATCTTATAAAAATCTGCTATGGCAAGAGCACACATTAAAAAATCAGAATCTTAAGTCTAATGTAAAAACTAGAGTTATTAGAGATGCCAAAGATGGCTTCACCTATTTTCCACACCAATTGGTGGCTGCTTCCTAAAATATAAAAAGCCAAACTTGATGTGTTAAATTTACAGAATGTTCCGGATTCTGCTTTCGGTTGATTCTTTCTTTTTTAGCTGCTTCTACCTCCAATTTTGTGACTGCTCATCAGAGTTTTAAAATTTTTAAATTTGCTGAAGAATTAAAGACTATAAGCAAAATTAAAAAAGCAAAATTAAGAAAGCAAAATTAAAAAACACTGTTTAATTTTGAATTCTTTATAAATAAAAACAATAATTAATTTTTTACTTTAAATAACCGCAAACGCTTGAAAAAAATTACTTAGAATAATAAATCTTGAATAAACAGAAAAATATAAATCTTGAATAAACAGAACTTTACTTTAGATTGATTGAAACTATAAGGAAACATATGTAGTTATGCCTCACAACCTGAAAATCTAAGACCCTTATGCTAAAAAAAATGTACCATCAAAATCTTTTTAACTATTGTGTATGTTATAAGGTTTGCATAACATAAAAACTTGAAATCATAGTTTGAAATCCAACAGAGATATTTTAATTTAGATATTTTGCGCAGAAAACTTGACCGTTATTTAACGATAGGTATCACCTCCTAAAAATGAAGCGTTTTACAAATAATCAAAGTGACAATTGATCACACTAAATTTTGTAAAGGTACTTAAAAAGAGCCTATTTGGAGTTTCAATCAATTTTTTTGAGCTTAGAAAATTTACTCAGCATATCCCTATCACATACTCATTGTTTACATCCATGCAATAAATATTTCATTTTTTTTTTAAGTTTGTAGTTCATCAATCATCATTTGCCAAACTCTTTGTTGTTTGCCAAAAACAACAAAGTTTGGCAAAAAACTATGAAGACTGCAGAAAATCTGCAAAAAAGCACAGGCAATTGACAGAATCTTACCAGAAGAAAATTCACAAGATTATCTCAAATACTGTGAACTTAAGTCATGATCCTTCTGGTCCTTTGAGTGTTCAAAATATGGTTTCAATCCAAAAAAATATGGGGCTTTAAAATACTGGAATGGGGAAACTTGGATCTGCCAATATTAGATCTTGGATCAACCAGATTAACCCAGGAAAGTTAGCTAAAACCAATTTTCAATAAAAAGTTACTGACAGTGGCGAGGCATTGAGAGACTACTTCACCATAAACTTGCGGTCAGTTCAGAAGATTGCCATGTGGTTTATTGCCAGAGCTTTCTTGAAATTTAGTGTAAGCTTAATTGACTCAAAGCTTAATGAGTCTGAGCAAATAGTCCTCTTCAAAAGTCAAACTTTAGTCACTAGAGGGCCACAAAAGTACAGGGGTTAAGAAGCAACTGATTGTGGCAAATGCAAAAAATACAACAGAAAATTTTGAATATCTGTAGTTTTTAAAATCATTAATGTGGAAAAAGATTTTAAAATCATTAGTGTGTAAAAAATGGTAGTTTTTAAAATCATTAATGTGAACAAAGCTGGCTCTCTTAGCTCCTCGGTAATCTTGGGTGACATGAAGCTTGCAAACATAATTTCAAACTTCAATCTCTTAGTAGCGAACACCAATGTTGTTGGTGTGAGATCGAGTCTTTAAAACTCACTGCATGTACAAACTTTGCAATATCGGAAGCATTAGACAGAATACAGAGTTTTGTACAATCTGGAGGTGATTTGAGAAATGCCAAAGCTTTTTTTAATGCTATTCATCCTCTTTTGCTTCTATTTACTAACCAAACAGTTGTTTTGGAAGTATTTTCTTCAATGGAACTTCATTTACTTCTTGGTGTAGTCAATTGCACTGTAAAAAGCCTATTACAAAAATAACTGAAGGCCATGGATTGGCTTCAAGCCATAAACATCCCTCTTCAGCCTTACTGTAGTGGCCACTACAATGGCAATGATTGCTGAAGTTGATCAAAAAGACGAATGAGCTAAAATTCCTTGCTGAAGCTCAAGGTCATTCAGAAGCCCTCGATTTCTGCTGTGCTTTGAATTAATTCAAAAAGGTTGTTTCAGTTTGTTTTGGCTATTTCATTTCACCTGATTATGTTTTAAAAATTGAAGATTTCAAATCCAGTTTTCTGAAGCTCCAGATTTCTATCACTCCAAAGGTTTATGCTGTTTTTCATCATGTTCAACAATTTATTAAGGCAAATAAAAAGGTGAAAACTAGCCTGGGACAGTGAACAAGCTGACAAGTTACCAAAACTGTATATTCTTGTCTTAAAAGTCATTGGGACACAAGAGAAGCTTCTCATACAGACTACTCTCATCAGCTCATCAAACTGTGTTGCTGATTACAATAGCAAAAGTGTAAAGCAACTGCACGAACCAAGATGCAAAAAATAAGAAGAACCTGACAAATGTTGTGTAGCATTAAAAAAAGGAAGTGTTTTTATGACCAATATGTTTGTTAATAAGAAAAAAGAGTTATAAAATAATTCAGAAATCAATTCTGTGTATTTCTATTTAATGTTTGGAATTTTTTGTTTAAGGGAGAAGTCATAAGTTGTTATAACTTGAGATAAATATCAGTTGTAGAAAAATAAAAATAACTCAGTTGGATTTCAATAAAAGATTTTGAAATAACTCATTACGGATACTTTATGGTATACAGTATCACCACTTCAAAGAAATTTGATTGGATTTTTCATCAGCATTAGGATCTTAAATTTTCAGAGTGTAGCTTCTACAACATATTATTTATGTAATATGATTAATTTTATATCATATGTTTTTTTAATGTGACTTGATTTAATGTAAAACACTTGTTTTTCAATAACATATATATATATATATATATATATATATATATATATATATATATATATATATATATATATATATATATATATATATATATATATATATATATATATATATATATATATATATATACATATAATAATAATAATAGTGATAAAATCCTAATATCTTATCTATAATATCTTATCTAATAAGCAAGAAAGAAAGTTAAGTTTGTTTTATATCAGTAGTTGTATCCTAAAAATGTACTATCAATTTTTAAGTTTTATGAAACTTAAATAATTTAAATTCCAAAATTGCATTATCTCCATAAAATTTTAAAATAGAATTAAATGATTTTGTGGCAATATTTGCAAAACGTTGTCTCTTGTTAGGATATCACAGTTTATTCAGTTTCAGTAGTCTTCTTTTCCTCTCTTTTACTAAAATTCAAAAAATAATTTAGCGGAAATTTATTATTTATATAATAAACTTAATAAATGCAAAAAAATTTTTCTCTAATTCATATATTGACCAAATGGTCATACTCTTCCTGTCACCTCAATGATACAAGTCAGCTCAAACTAAGCAGTTTTTTTCAAAGCATCCTTATTTAACAAAAGTTTAAACATATAATTGTTTAGAGCTTGCTTTACGTTCAGAGGTTAGCTATCTCAAAGACTATAAAATGCTGGATCCACCTCTGATCTATATAGATTTTTACCCTATCAATTTATTGCTAACTTATTAACCCTTGTAAAAAAAATAGGTTCTGTCGTACATTAGATGAAATCTAACTTGTATTAACCATTTTCTTCTACTAATTTTGTTTCCTCTATAAATATTACATTTGTCCTGGTATTGAAAACTGTTTTTATATTTTTTAAATTAATTTTCTGTCAACTCCAAACGTAATTTTGCTTGCAGCCTTGTAAAATTTTTTTTTTTATCTTACAAATTTTAAAAAGAAAATTGAACAATAAAAACCTTGTGTTCAACATATATGCTTTGCTGATAACTGCATAGCATATAAGCCATTTGAACGTTAATCAGTTGTTACGTCGTAGTTAGAGGCTTGGACTAAATAGAAGGTAGCACAAGAATGTTCATTTTAATCCAGTGTCTTTTAATAAATTACAACGTTTTAATAAAAATATAAAAAACAAATTTATCATTTATGTAACAGTTTTTAATTTATTTTTGTACGTTAATAACTTAACTTATAAAGTTTAAAATTTAAAGTATAAAGCTGAGAAATATTTTTTTTAAAATAGTTGTTTTGCTTTGTTTAAAAGGTTTTCCCTTATCAAATTTTTCAAAGTTTTTATTTCTGATTGCGCCTTCAAACTAATGCCGTTTAAGTTTTTCAAGTTTGACTTTCTCAAGTGCGATCTTGAAATTTTCAAGTTCCATTCACGCATTTGCTCAAGTTTTTTTTTGACAAAGTAATACTTCAAAATTTAAGTCAAACTTCACTCAAGTGTGCTTCTTGCATTCCACCCTTAGTCAAAAGTCTCTAGAATCTAATTTTTGAGAAACAGAAATTAGTATTCACAGAAATAAATGATCTTAACGCCCTTATTAATTTTCCATTAATTTGTGAGACAATTCCTTTTTCCATTGATTTTTCGTCGCAAAAATAAGACATTTGTCTCCAAAAATTGTTCTTTTAAATGAGATAAAACAAATGATCAAAAAATAAAAGTAGCAGCTTCAGTAGGAAGCTAGAACACTAGAACACTATCAATTTGCAACATGGCACTGTTAATATTCTAATATTTTATGGCTATTAAGTCTCTTTTTTATTTTTGCAAGTACTACCATGGTCTCTGGTTTATTTATCTAGTTTTTTTATATTGGTGCTTCAGAATTAACTTCCAACTTTTTCTTGACTCATTCAAACCTCTTTTTTTAAAGTTTTATATGTTTTCTTGTTCTTACAACCGCTTCTTTTTTTTTCTACTTAAGTGAACTTGTTTTAAAGCAGTGAACTTGTTTAAAAAAAAAATAACTTAAAAATGAATAAAAATTACTACATTAAAAAAATGTTGCCACAAATTTCTGTCAAAAATAGATACTGCAATAGATAATGTGGAAAATCCTGACCCAACCTGTCCAACAATCTAAGCAATACCTATTACAGCATGACTTTGTCAGTAACATTTCAGCTATAATATATGCACTTATATACACATATGAAGTATACTAACTTGAATTTTATGCTTTAAAAAATGCCATGACGTATCACTTTTTGGATCAACATTGCATACCTAGTAGTTTAAAGAAATATATTTTTTAACTTTTTTAAACTTTTTTTAACACCTTTAATACCTTAGTAGGTAAACTTACAACATGGTGAACTGTATCTGGTACTGAATCTTGTCCTTTTAGATCAATCCATGTTGGGAAATGCATTATCTTATCCTATAAAAGAATGCAATTTAATAATAGTTTAAAAACTCAGCTAATTTCATTCTAAAATTAATTGTTAAAATTAATAAAAAAGTAACAAAATGTTAATAGAAACATAGCAATGTAAAATATGTAATCTAAACAATGACATATGTCAATAACAAACAGATAACAAAAAATATAAACTATTGGTGATATAAATAAACAATACCATAGGATAAAATAACATAAAAATTAAAATACTAATTAATAATTCTTTGATTATATTACATGAAGTTTTATAAACTTCTGTAAACTGCAAGAGTACCTAACTAGCAGTTGCTTGCAGTCTTGTCAAGAATAAATTTTGTAAAAAAACAAAACAAAAAAACAAACAATATCTACAGATATTTTTTGTTTGTTTGTTTTGAAACGTAAATATCTACAAAAACGCTTAGTAAACAACTATAGAATGAAGCCAATCACAGCAAGCCAAACAGAAAGAAAGTTTTGACAGCCAAATCAATAAAAATGGTTGTTTAAAATAATTTCTAACAGTAAGAAATGATTAGATAAACCACATAAAAAAACCCATTTGTAAGTAAAAAACCTGTAAGAGAAAGAAATTGTAAGACTTTTTTAATAAATTGTAAGTTAATTAATTTTTTTTTTTAAGAAAAAAGTTAATTAACTTATAAGGGAAAAATATATTAAATTTTTTTTTATGATATTAGAAAAAAATTAACTTATGAAAACGCTTTTAAAACATACAAAATTTGTCTTGGTTTTTCCAGGTTTAATTAGAGCTGCTTATATTTACAAACAAGAAAATAAAATTTAAAAAATATTTACCGCCAACTTCTTAACTTCTAAGTTATGCAGAGTTGCGCTACATAATACAACCTGAAATTTCACAAAAAAACATTTAAAAAATATTGCAGCTAGAAAAATGTAATAAAAAAAATTGCATCTAGAAAACAGAAAGTCCACCATGTCCCTGGTAGTATCATGCTACTTAATGGCTTTTATATTACATTATTAAATACAAAATTTTAGTAAATTTGTTTTTATGGTTGCAGTTTGTGTTTGTTATTATGTTTGCAGTTGGTATGTTTGTTGTTATGGTTGTAGTTGGTGTATTTGTTGTTATGGTTGCAGTTGGTGTGTTTATTAATGAATAATATGGTCTGAATGTATAATTTTTTTTACTTTATTTTCTACTGGAAAGAATAATTGAACTGATCAAATATAACTCTAAGTGATGGTCTGCAAAGATATAGAGTTATATTTGATCAGTTCAATGAATCTTTCAAAAGAAGCATTAACATATATATATATATATATATATATATATATATATATATATATATATATATATATATATATATATATATATATATATATATATATATATATATGTATAGTAGAAAATAAAACTACCTGATTTTCACAACTTTAAGTTTCATGCTGTTGCAATCATCAGGTGAAATACAAATAAAGTTTGTTCGTTTAAAAAATTATATACAATTGAAACTATACAGAAAAAACCTATACGGAAAAAACTTTTTTTTATTGTTACGACCGCGTGTATTTAATCTTCAGGTTTGTGGTTGCTCAATAGAAATTTATTTTCGTGACGACACTTGGAGATTAACTCTGTTTTTTTATTGAATAGCTCTTCAGCATTTTTGTAAAGCAAAATAATCAGTTTTTCATATAAACATAGTAAACATTTTTTTGTTTCATTGTTGTAGGTGGGGGCTTTTTTCAGGATAGACCAAGTTAATTCTGGTGTTTCTTTCAGTTTTTCTCTAGTTTCCCATATATGTTTTGAGAGAGTGATTGCATTTGAAAGTTTTTTATTTGAAAATGATTGCTTGTGGTTTGCATACCTCTTTTTTCACACTCCTTCTGATAAACCAATGTATGCTTTGCTGGGAATGTTTGGCGAAGATGTTATACATTTGTAAATGATGTTTGTCGCTCTACATTTTTTATTCAACAGGCAGATTTCTTTTTGCTTGCAATTGCAAGGAAGATTTTCAGTGGTGTTAATTCAATTTATTTTTTTGTTGTGGCTTTTTATAATTTTTGAAATGTTGTTTGAGCAGCTGTAGCTAACTTTTGTAGTGTTTCGATTGAATAGTTTATGTAATGGCTTTGAAGGTGGGAAATTTTTATCTATTAATTGCAAAAAGATTTGGCCAACATTGGTAGAGACGCTTTTATTGTAGGGTGGGTCAAACCAAATTATATTTCTTTTTCTTTTGGGAGGTGTCTTATTTTTTGGTTTGTACTTTAAGTTAAAGTTTTTAAAACCGTTTTGTTTAAGTGCTTCTTCGTATTCTGTTTTTGAAGCGTTAAATATTTTTTCATTGGAAGAATTTTGCGATAATCGATCATTAATGGAGAGAGGGATCTGCTTAAGAACTTGGGGCGGGTGGTTTGATTCAATGTGGATGTAGAGCAGTTAGTCATTTTGTTTTTTAAAAGGTTGGTAGGAGTTTTTTTGAAGATTAAAAGTTACGTCAAGAAAATTAACACTGTTTAAATTGGTTTGAATCTCTATTTGAAATCTGATCTTTTTAAATATCTCAATTATATTTTTTCTGACTTTGTCTAACTGTGCGGTAGTTTTTTTTGCGTATCACCATCAATCCGTTGTCTCGGTAAAGACCTATATCATTTTTAGTAATGGTTTTGGATAAAGAGTCTAGAATGTATAAACCCACCAGTTCGTATACTTCAGCTCCATCAAAACAACCCATTGTGGCGTCAAAACAATCATTATACGTCTTTTTTATCCATGTTTCTTTTTTAAAAAATAATAGCAATTTTCTGCAATGATTTATGACTCGAATTTTTTCACTGCTGATTTCAGTGTGCTGTTTTGCAAATATTAAAGCGCTGTTTAGTATGTCTTTTGTGATGGATAGGTAAAATTCATTGATGTCGAGTTGTATAAATACACCGTGTTGCTTGTCGCTTATGTTTGTAAACTATTTGATTACTTCAGCGGTGTTTTTCCATTGGTTTAGTTTTAATTTATTTTTTAAGTCCTTGTTGATTTTATCTAGGTATGTTTTGCTGACAACACCGAGTTCACTTTTTGCTGGATTTAATAAGCGGCAAGGTTTTTGATTTTCAAAGTTGTTTTTGTGGTCTTTTAATGTAATGAATGCTTCTGATTTGGCAATTGTATTGATTTGTTTGTTTATATTTAGTTTAGTTTCTATGCTTTTTGCCTCATGTTATAAAATGTTATAAAAAGTTATAAAAAGAATACGCTGGAAAACATATTTTCACATGAACAAAACCGAAACAAGTACACAAGAAAATTTTGGTTTAAAAACGAAAAAACACCCCCACAATGCAAAGAATTAGAAAACTTTGAGATAGAACTATTTAACTTGGTAAAATCAATAAAGTTTCAGAAATCCCAAAGCCAATTCCAAAAAAAAATTAAAGGACGTCGTTTCAACAAAGAGTTTGGCGCAGACCTTGTGATGCACTCTTAGATAGAAACCTTAGAAAAACTGAGAAGCATGGAGGTGGCTCAATTATGGTTTGGGGATGCTTTGCTTCAAATGGTGTGGAAGACTGGTGAATGTTGAAGGTATAATGACAGGACAATTGTATGTTGATTTGCTTTCCAAACATTTATGTCAATCCGCTAAAAAATTGAATTTAGATCGCAAGTTCTTTTTTCAACAAGACAATGACCCCAAACACACCAGCAAAGTGGCACAACATTTCCTCAAAAAAAGTAAAGTTAACATCCTTAAATGGCCACCACAAAGCCCGGACCTTAACCCCATTGAAAATTTATGGGCAATTTTAAAATCTAAAATACCTCCTTCAAAACGAACAAATAAAAAAGAATTTTTTGAGGTTCTTAGTGAAACTTGGAATTCAATTGGTACTGACGTCACGTCAAAGCTTGTAAAAAGCATGCCAAGACGTTTAGAAGCAGTCGTGAAAGCAAAAGGTGGTGCAACAAAGTAATAAAGTGAAAATCAGACATGATATTCTTGTATTTTTAATATATATTACTGACAAAACATTACATTTCATAATAAAAACTCATAATAAAAAAAGATGTTTCTTACTTATGTCGCATTTATTTTGGACAAAAAAGTTGTAAGATAGCTAATTTCGTTTAATAGAGTTACTTTTGCAATGAGTTATAAAGAGTTAAAAATATATATTTTTTTCTTTGGAATCAAATTTTTAAAAAAACATAAAGTTATTGCAGTTGCGTAGATCCTGACTTAAATAATTTTGTTTTTATTGTTCGAGTTTCGATTTTATCAATAATGTTACTTAATTTTGTCCGTGACTGTATAAATATATATATAAATTTTTATATATATTTATATATCTATATAAATATCTATATATATCTATATCTATATCTATATCTATATCTATATCTATATCTATATATATATATATATATATATATATATATATATATATATATATATATATATATATATATATGTAAATATATGTAAATATATATATATATATATAAATATATATATGTAAATATATATATATATATAAATATATATATATAAATATATATATATATATATAAATATATATATATATATATTTATATATATATATGTAAATATATATATATATATATAAATATATATATATATATATATTTGTATATATATATTTGTATATGTATATATATATATATATATATATATATATATATATATATATATATATATATATATATATATATATATATATATATATATATATATATATATATATATATATATATATATATTAGGGGTAGTCATTTTTAGGGAATTTTTGAAATCGAAGTACATACCCAGCTAAAGTTGGAGCAAATATGCTAAAACTTTGTCAAAATATTTTTTAGGTCAATCAGGTGACTTTTAAGTACCCCTCAAGACTAAAGTTGTTGAGAAATTGTACTTCAAAAAAGGAAAAATAGGGTGTGTTCAGGGTGTTTGAGGGGGATTTAAATGAAAAAATTATTTTCATTTTTTTTTTTTTTTTTGTTATTTGATATCTATATTTTCATTTTAAAAGGGTATGTCATGATGTTTTTTACATATTCTTGGTTAAAACGATATTTAAGAAATCAAAAAATGAAAAGTTTAATTTACCCAAGTGGTTATGAAATCAGTAAATTATGTATTTTCATACTTTAAGTATGAAAATACATAATTTACTGATTCATTCAGATGGACAGACGTAAAAATTCCCGCTTAAATCAACCAAAAAAACAAACTATTTTGAACTAAACAAGTAATTTACCATTTAATTAAAATCTTTACAAATACTATCAAGACAAAAATTATGCATTAATTGAGTATTTTATAAGTATTTTAAAATGAATAACAATTTCCTAAGCCTACAATTTCCTTTTCTTTAATTTAGAGAGTGACATCAGGCTTTCTGATAGTTTTTTTTTTGTATTATTACTTTTTCCCACACCAAAAACCTTGAAAGTTGACCTTACTTTGTCGACAGTTAAAAGTCTGTTCTGCTTGTCATCCTCATTTTCGAATCTTTGTACAAACTTCTGCATCATTCCGATTGCTCGTTCAGAATGATCATTGACAACAATTAACATTTTGGCAAAGTTTTCAAAATTCTTAAACGAGGACTGGGTGTGCCAATATTGGGGTGGAAGTGACAACCAGTCTCTCACTCTCTGATTATCCAACCCTATCATTGAAAAAATTAAATATGAAAACTCATTAACCAAAAGAGAGAGGGTTGGTACCTTCATATTATTTATAATATTAATCTCGTCTATTCGATCTTTGCTTCTATGTTTAAAAAAATCTGGATCTGGCATTTGGAAGGAAAGCAAAGCATCTGCAATGGCTGTTTTTTTATCCATAGAAATATTTTTATCCAAAAGAGCCAAGGGAATAATCGTTGAATCAAGATACCATGTATGCTTATAAAGAGATGCTAACACTGCGTCTACTGCGTCCGGATTGGAGCAAACTTTCTTATACTCTTTCATATGAAAGATTGCATCAAGATCAGACGCAGGAGATTGAATTGCTTTATGTGCTTGAAGGTACCACCTTGTGTAAAAACATACTATGAATTCGCAGATGAGTTTTAAATCTTCGCGTAGATTATCATTTTCTTGCACAAATGTCAGTTGCTTGCACAAAAGCTGAAGTTTAAGGTAGTATAAACTCTTGCCTAAAAACCTAGCATGATGAACAGCTCCAGTTTTCTTTAATTTGAAATGTGCAGAAGGGGATAAATACTGCATGGTTAGCTCAGCCAACTCTCTTCGGTCATTCCTCATATTGCATTTTTTAGTAATATAGGTCTCACAGTAATCTAAAGTTTTCCTTGCAGCTTCCTTTAAAACTGTTCCTTCCATGGTTTTCCAATCAAGAGAGGTCAGGTTATTTTCGTCGTATTTGAAGTTAGGGTTCTCAAACATATGTTTAAACTTTACGAATAAAGGATTTTCAGGCCCTACGCTATTCTCTTTTATCACTGCTTCACAGAAATGAACCATTCTAAGCTCAATGATATGATGGCTACATGCTAGTAGAAGAAGGTATTTGTCAACCTCTCTTGCAATCCTAGTAAGTGATCCTTTCTTAGAACCAGTATTACTTGAAGTTGTATCAAAGCATACTCCGCATACTTTTGAAATGAGGTCATATTCTTCTAGTATTTTCATGATTCCTATATACATATTTTCACCTGAAGAAGACGGCAAGGCAGGTACTCTAAGAAGATGCGACACCTCCTCAATATCAACGAGCACAGCTAATCTTTCATTCTTCAGTCTTTTTCCCTGATTTATTTCAAACAAAGTCTTTCCGTCAAAATGAATTATACAGGGATAACGGCTTTTTTCCACGGCCTTCTTTATATCTAATTTAGCAATTTCTGCAGTATCCTTGGCAGTTTTTTTCATCTTCCTTAATGCTGTTGAAGCACTGGCTTTGCATTTTGCGATATCAACTCCACAATCTTGAAGAATTGCTTAAGTTACTTTTTGTAAGACATTGGGGGAGATATCATTTGCTGTAGCTATGATAGATACATTTCCATCAAAAATATTCTTAGGGACTTTGGCAGTAATGTTGCAATCATCTGCTCTTCTATGATGCCAAACATCGGGTTCAAATTCTGAATCAGAATCAGCGCTAGTGTCAGTGAAACTCAAGTCTAATTCTGAGGTAGCGTCAATCTTAGGAGATTCGTCTTCTAGCCTTGTCCTCTTCCTCACACCTTCAGAAACTTCAGAAAATTTGTTTTAACATAGTGTATGTGTATTAACAAATAATGTATGTTAAATTAGCAAATTTTAATAAAAAACGTCAAATTAACCCAATAAAAACAACACAAAACCTTTTTGCTAAATTTTCTATCTTCTGATCCCAAACTAAAATATCTCGGTCCTTCCTGGTCTTCCAAAAAAGTTAAATCATCGTGCTTATCTTTATCTGAGCGTTTTTTATCCTTCCTAATTTGGTTCTTTAAATCTGTAGAACCAATCCAAAACAGCTTTTTCAAAAATGAAATAAACTCCCCTTGATTAACCTTGTCTCTAGCTGTTCCTCTGCATTTATTTCTACTCAAATCTGAATACTTCTTGTCCATCTTCATAAGGTTCTTGATAATACTTTTATCTGACATTACTTGAAATCCCGCTTTAAGCCATGGTCTTTTAATTAAGCCTAAAATGCATTCACAATCATCTACTTCACATCTCTTGTAACCCTGAATCTTGTAAGGAGGGCATGATAAAATTGCTGACTTCTTAACATTATGAGGAAGTAGTGATCTTCTGTAGACAATGTGTTGAAGAACATCCATTCCAGTAGGGAGTTGAAGACCTTAAGAAAAAAAAAATCAATATTTTAATTTTTAACAAAAAATTTAAAATTCAAAACAATTTTTTTAAATTAGATATGTACATGTAATAGCTGGTTTAGCCTCATTTATGATAAAAAGTTTGTTTTTGCTTGATCTAAGAAACTTCCTCTTCCCAATATCTTTTACAATTTTTTTTTCCATTTTTGTATTCAATCTAAATATATTTAATGGTCTGTAATTAATTAAAAACTTCAATACAATTTTACTTTATATTGTAACTCAATTAATAACAATCAAGTAAATACGAAAGTTATTTACAAAAATAAAATAATGTAACGCAATTTCACGTACAATTTCTTTATAAAAACTCTTAGTGACTTAAAAATACAGTGCAGGATCTTCAGCACATTTTCTTCTGCATTATTTTATAAGAATTTTTTTATCGTTGCCGATTTTCATAACCTCTTGCGTAACATAAAATTTTTATTTTTTCCTTTTGTAAATATCGTTTTAAACAAGAATATGTAAAAAACATGATGACATACCCTTTTAAAATAAAAATATAAAGAACACAAAAAACAAAAAAAACAAAAAAAAATTGAAATAATTTTTTCATTTAAATCCCCCTCAAACACTCTGAACACACCCTATTTTTCCTTTTTTCAAGTTCAATTTCTTAACAACTTTAGTCTTGAGGGGGACTTAAAAGTCACCCGATTGACCTAAAAAAAATTTTGACAAAGTTTTAGCATATTTGCTCCAACTTTAGCTGGGTATGTACTTCGATTTCAAAAGTTCCCTCAAAATGACTACCTCTAATATATATTTATATATATATACATGTCATGTACTGTGCATGGCTGTTTTAAAATTACTAAATTAAATCATTAAGAAATATAGTACATCAACTATTTATTCTATATATATATTTAACTATTTACTTTTTTTAATGTGGTTTTTTTAATAAATTTAATTGATTATTTTTGTTGTAATATATTTATTGCAGTAGTAGAGTAGTGGTATTTTCTTAGGCAAGAAAAGTTTGTTTTACACCACACCCCTGGTAGAGCTGCGCTTAACTTGCTTTTTTGTACCATTGTTTGTCAAGGATTGTTTTAAAGTGAAAGGATTGAGAGAGGGCTATTAAAAAAAGCCCCCTCTTCCCTTGTAATAGTAGCAATAAGTAAAAAATAGAAATACATCTGTAAGTTTAAACAAATACAGTCAGATGATTAAATGAATTATAAAAATTGATTGTTTTGAGTATAATTCAAATGTAATTCAAACCTGTAATCTTTTACCATCTGAAGACATTTTTGGACATAGATTGTATAACTTTTCAATTAATTGACCTTGGTTTTGATTTAATAACCCATCCTGAAAATAATTTCAAGGTTAATAAAGTAAGTTTACACATCATATATAAAAAGTTCAAGAAGTTCAAAAAACATTGTTTCATTAATATCAAAATGATAATAAACATTAAAATGATAATAAACATTGAGATAATAATCTTTATAAAACATCTTTAATAATATCATTGTTAACAATCATCTTTACAATACTTTTATCATGTGATAATAATTTATTATTAATAGTTAATATGAAAAAGACAATAAATCTAAAACACAGTTAAATCTCTTACCGCTTCATCAAGTATCAAAAACCGAACCTAAAATAAATAATATTATAATCATCATCATCATCATCATCATCATCATCATCATCATCATCATCATCATCATCATCATCATCATCATCATCATCATCATCATCATCATCATCATTATTATCATCATCATCATCATCATCATCATCATCATCATCATCATCATCATCATCATCATCATCATCATCATCATCATCATCATCATCATCATCATCATTATTAACATTTCATGAGTAAGGGATACCTGATCTAAAAGCAAATTTCCAGATGATATAAAATCATCTAGCTTTCCAGGTGTACCAGTTACAATGTCAACCTGAATACAAATGAAGTAATTTTTATAACACTATATATTTTTTATAAAAATCTAGAAAAATACAAAAAAAAAAAAATTATATACTAAACTTATAATTATAATTTTAATTTACTTTTTAAATCTTGTTTTATTTCGTCAATAATAAAAAAACATTAAAAGCCATCTTTACAACCAAACTATTTAAATCTATTTTTCAGAAATATTTTTTATCTGAAGTCTTACCAAAAAAATTCACTACACTATTTGTTTGTTGAGACTAACTTTCAAAATTTAAACTCATCTACAGATTTCAGTGTTGATAGATTTTAGCCTTTGATTCACAAAACTCCCAATTACATAAATTTATACCTAAGCCAAGCATGCTAAACAGTCACATGCTTGACCAGAACAAATGCTAATGTATAAATTCATCTGTTATGAAACCAAGTTTGAGTCCTCTGACTATTTTTTAAATTTGTATTTATGTGTTTAAGCAGCTAATTTTTGTAAACAATACTAATTACTTACCTTTACTCTTTAATGTGTGACCTTAGCTTGTGTTCAGTTTCCTTTTTAAGATTTTAGTAAGTTTTAGTAAGATAAAAGCTTTAGTAAGATCCATGGTCCAACGATCTTAATAAAACCTTTGTACTTCTTCTACATTAGATTTAACTAACCATTATACTTCTACTAGTACTTAAAGCTACTAACTTAAATTGTACTAAGATTTATTTTGTGACTTCCTTTGCGATGGTCGTAAAGCTGATGTCTATTGTTTCTCTAATAAAATTTTACGCCCTATGTATTCTCTTATATTCACGCTTTTTATTTTTGCGAACTTTAAATTAAACTCCTAATGCAGAATTTTTAAATTACAATAATTTCTTTCATATTTTTGTTTGTTGTTTAAAAAATAAGTTTGAACATGTTTTAACCATAACAAGAAATCAACGTAAAAAAGCATTTTTCTAAAATCAAACCTATTTCTACTTTCTAAATCTTTTTCTGCCTAATCCTAAACCTTTTTCTACCTAATTCTAAGGTCTTACTATCTTATCTTTATTATCTTTAATTGTCTTTGTCTTAAAACAAATTACTGATGATTAAACAGATTTTCTTAGACAGAAATTAAATGTGATCAAAAAAATTAAAAGTCGCCAGATGTTAAGAAGGTTAAGTGATTGTGGTGTGATCATCCACTTACATACTTCCATATTGCCCAGCTGGTTATAGCCCACAAGTATAAAAACGGTTTACTATAATGAAGAAAGAAGTGACAACTCTTGATGTTGTACAGGGTGAGTTTGTAGGAGATAATTAACGGGAAATCACTCTACCTAGATAATTAATGGGAAATCACTCTACCTGTCATGGTTACTCAGTATAATTAATTACTGTTTTGTTTATTCTAAATATAAGTATTTTTTATTTTATTTTATCCGAAAACAACAATTACATATTTCCAAGTATTTTTGTGGTGCATATAAATAAGTTTCAGACCTTGAGTTTAAAATAAACCAACCTATGAGAGAACAAATGACCTTGGTTTTACGAGAGAGCAAATGACCTTGGTTTTAAGTTTTAATGGTGCCTTTTTTCCACCATTAGAACTCAAAACTTGAAATCATAAAAATTACAGCTTTTATCTCTTCAGGCAGGACAAAATAGTTTATTTTTAGTTTTAAAAATAAAACTTGAATTTCTAAGAAAAAAAAATTAAAACCTTTTTATAAAGTCAAATTTTTTTGAAATTTGGTCATGGTTTTTAGTAAATTAATAATGATAAAACGTTTTAAGAATTTAAAAAAAGAAAAAAAACTATTTTGTTAAACAAAAAACAAAACAAAACAACAAGATTGAAAAATATAACTCTGCAATTATTTAAATAAGATGTTAACTGTATATAAAAGTTAACTGTATATAAAAGTTAACTGTATATATTACTGTAAATAAAATACATCAAATATACAATTAAAAAAATTTTAACGAAAAAAATTTTAATGAAAAAAATTAAAATTTTAACAAAAATTTAATTGTCTTTTCAGTTTATTTAAAAGTAAATTATGTTACAAGAAAAAAATTATTGAACTTTGAGGTTTTGAAAGTTTTTGAATAAAATTAATTTCATTATTAAATAATAAATAGTCCATATTAAATTCATTTTGTAGAAAATTTACTTGTATAAACAATTGGTAAAATAAAGTATTGGTAACTCTAAATCTATAAAAATTAAAATCCTGAAACCATGATTCAAACATACCCCACTCTGCAATGCTTTTATTTGTTCACTTGAATTTTCTCCACCAACCAACAGTACATTTCTGTTTAAAACAAAAGTTAAACAATAACTGACAATATAATTTCAATAAAACATGAAAAAGTTTGTGGATGAAAAAAATATAAAAATATTTTTACAATGTTTATTTAACTTCTTTTTTTAAAATAATACATTAAAAAATTATTTTGAAAAAAACTCAAAAATAATTTTTATTTGGTTGATGCTAATTTATCCATGATATATGACCCCATTAAAATTTCAGACTCTTATAATTCATTCTTTGTTTCAGTTCCAAAAGAATTACAGAAAAAGATTCACTCATCCAATATTGACTTGAATACATATTTTAAAAATCTTAATCTTAAATCAATATTCATAAAACCTACCAAAAACGAAGTATTATCTATTATTCATTCTCTTAATGACAGCAAAGCTTCGGGACCTAACAGCATTCCAATACCTATTTTTAAAATTCTTGCAAATAATATCTCTTCTGTACTTTCTGAACTATTTAATCTGTCATTTATCACCGGTGTATTCCTTAATATTTTAAAAACTGCTTCTATTATTCCAATTCATAAAAAAGACTCAAAACTTGAAAGTAATAACTACAGACCTATTTCATTATTATCAAATGTCAGCAAACTTTTATAAAAATCTATGCACTCTTGTATTTACAACTTTTTGAATAATTCTGCTTATTTTCATATTCGACAGTTTGGGTTGCGCTCAAATCATTCCACTTCTCATGCTCTTATTAGCATTACTGAAATGATTCGTGGTGCAATTGACAGTGGTTTCTTTGCTTGTGTTGTATTCATAGATCTTCAAAAAGCTTTTGATACAGTTGATCACAACATTCTAATAAAAAAGTTTAACAACTACAGAATACGTGGTATTGCTAATCATTGATTTTCTTCATATATTAGGGATCGTACTCAGTTTGTTTCAATTAATGGATTTGAATCCAGACATAAAGTTATTAAATATGGCATTCCACAAGGTTCTGTTCTTATTATATATAAATTAGGTTCTGTTTTTATTATATGTAAATGATTTATCCTGCTCATTAAAAAATTCTATGGTACATCATTATGTTGATGATATCAATCTTTTATATATCAACAAATCACTTACGACTCTTTGTAAAAAAGTTAATCAGGATCTTCATCGCTTATGTAACTCGTAAGAAATAGTAATCATGTTTCCTTGAATGTCAATAAAACTAAATACATTATTTTTCATTCCCCTCGAAAAACTACTGATACTATTAAAATTAACGAAAAAAAACTTTTTCCGTCAAAATATATAAAATATCTTGAAAATATCTTGATGAATACCTATCTTGTTATAATCAACTGTATCATCTTGAAAAAAAACTTACACGAGCTAACAGTATACTTTCTCTAATTCATTACTATGTTCCTATCCAAACTCTTTGAATGATTTATTTTTCTTTATCCTCTTCTCACCTTCACTATTGCTGTATTGTTTGGGGTCAAAAAAGAAACTTTTCACTTAATAGTATTGCTAATTTAAAAAGGGCATCTATTAGAATAATGATGTTTTTGCCAATGAGATCTTATATCCAAAAAAAAATTTTCTGAACTAAAAATCCTATAACTCCACAATCTTGTAAAGTTTTACAATTATCTTTTTGTGTTTGACTTCCTCCAAATAAACAACCAAACTCTTTTTTATTAAAACTTTTTGATTAAAACAAATGAAATTCATAATCATCACAACATGAATACAGAAAATAGTAAGCTATACTCTTCTATTTTCAACACAAATATGGTAAGTTTTCCATAAAACAACAAACTACAGCCACAAATAATATACTTTTATCAAATTTCACTCAATAGTGCAATCCCTTGAACTGAGTGAATGTTGGCTCAATTAATTTCATTGTAGAAATAGTGATTATTAAAATCAGATTTGTTGTTCATTAGAATGCATACTTTTTCATTTATCAGCATTTTACAAACTTTTGAATGACAAATAGCTTTTATTATTTAAATTTATAAGCGTCTTAAGAATTTATCTATTTTATATTATCTATAACCTTGTGATTTTGTAATTTTTTGAACAGTGGTTTTATTTGTATAGAAGTTTTTAACCAAATTTTGTAATTTCTGGATATTTCTTAAGTTTGATAAAAACCAAGTTTAAAAAAAATTCTTTTTTTGACCACTTCCCGACTTTTTTTTTTATAGTTTGTTATAATACATCTCAATTAAAATATGATATTTTCTTGCAAGCTTCTAGAATATTAAATTCCCCTAATAACTTATAAAATATTGTAAATTAATATATGTGTTACATATATATATATATTTTGACGTTGAACAGTTTACTAACTTAATCTTGTCTAACCAAGTGTGAAACTTTGAAAATTAAAGCATTTTTTGAAACAATAGCATAAAAAAAAAGTGGCACTGTTTAAAAAGAATCAGTAATACGCAAAGGAATTTAGTGTGTATATATGTTTTGTGGTAAGAATTTTATGTCAAAACTATTTTCCTGACCTCTAACAGTTTAAGGTCAGCAAGAAACTGACTACCCTCAAAAAGATTGAGGTCGGCATCAGGTCGCAAAAAATATATGATACAAAGGTCTGACAATTAAACATAGAAAAGAAGTCGGGTATATGTTGCCGACCTCAAACACTTTCGGCAGTAAGGTCGGCATTGCCTAATGCTGACCCTAATTCAGAGGGTTGTATATATGTATAAGTATATATATATATATATATATATATATATATATATATATATATATATATATATATATATATATATATATATATATATATATATATACATATATATATACATATATATATATATATATATATATATATATATATATATATATATATATATATATATATATATATATATATATATATATATATATATATATATATATATATATACTTATACATATATATATATATATCCTATCCCCGCCTACACCAATACAACAAAAAAATGTTTACTTTGTTTATATGAAAAACTGTTAATTTTACTTTATAAAAATGCTGAAGAGCTACTTAAGAAAAAAAACAGAGTTAATTTTCAAGTGTCGCCGCTAAAATAAATTTCTATTAAGTAACCACAAACCTGAAGATTAGATACACGCAGTCGAAACAATAAAAAAAGTCTTTTTCATATAGGTTTTTTCTGTATAGTTTCAATTGTATATAATTTTTTCAACAAACTATATTTGTATTTCACCTGATAATTGTAACAGCATGAAACTTAAAGTTGTGATATATATATATATATATATATATATATATATATATATATATGTATATATATATATATATATATATATATATCAAAATTTTAGGTTAGAATGAATTCTGATGTAATTTAAAAAGTCGCAATCATTTATTCTCCAATATCAAACAAAGATACCAGGAATTTGTTTAAATGTCAACATTTAGATAATATTTCGTCTTTTTTATTAAGCAGGTTGTTTCCATTAAAAGATTGAATTTCTAATTTTCCAGGAACACAGAGTTTGCAGGTTTTTGTTTCTGGTTTGTAAGCTTTGCAACATTTTTCACTTTATTATAGGTATTGTACCTTTTTCTTTTAAACTCCAAATTTCTTTTGAAAGTTCAGTATCATTTTTATATTTGATCGCATTACACGATTTTTTTTGTATAAGCAACTTAGAATTTTGGTCAGAACTCGATTTGCTTATTTTTCAGCCAATTTCTATATCTTGAGTTGCTTAATGGTTGCTTAAGTTTCTTAGCCTAAATTTCAGTGTTTTTACAAATAAGAGACAAAATACGATTTCATATCAAGTCTTTAACAGAAGAGTGCTCTTTACAACTAAAATCACTTAAATTCTAATAAAAAAAAAGATCACAAATGTTTCTCTCTTCTGCTGGATCTTTATTTTCTTTATCTCCACTTTCTTTGTCTTCTTGTCCGTCTGATTTTTCTACTTGTCCATCTAGTTCCTCGTCTTCTCCGTCTGATTCGTCAGGCAAAACATCAATAAGGTTATCCTTTACTTTGTCTGGAATAGGAGTCTCTGTGATTTCCACTAGGTTGTCAATGTCAACAGGGGGTGGAACAACATAAGCAGGCATGCCTTCAGGATTTATCTTATCGTCCTTGCTACCATCAGCTGTGATAAGACATTCTGTTTTCGCAAAAACTCCTATAAAGCATACGAAAAAATTTCTTGTCTTTGGATGTTTTACGGTATGCTTCACCAACCCAACGAGTTATCAAAATGCGGCGATCTTTTGCCGACAGTTTCAGATCATCGTTGCCAAGCCAGAGTTCGATGTTTTCATCATTTTCGAGCCAGATGTTTTGTTCTACTTTAATATGTGATTTGAATGCTTTTTCTGGTCCGGCATCAACAGGTCGCCACAAATGTATCCCGTTGGGAACACCAAACCAGACAACACCTTTATGTTGTCACACTTCATTCAAAAACTCATCACTGACTTGGGCTGTCAGGTTATCGCAGAACAAAACATACTCATCCAGGTTAGCGACAGCATTGGAGAGAGTGTTCTTTGCCCATTTCACGGAAAACGCTGTATCTGCCCATGCATTTGGTTGCCAGTACACATCTACATCAGTGTCATAGGCTAAAACTTCATCGTGACTAATCCTTTTCCCCTTATCTCTGAAAATCAATGCCGGCTTCACCATTCCTTCAGGACTGAAACATATTTGAAGGGTAGTTGTCGCTTATCAAGCCCACTGACAGGTTGAGCTACCCATACTCTATGGTCCCTTTGTTCCCTTACTCATTGGAATTTTGTATGTTCGTTTGCTCTCGACTACAAACGGGAGTGGAATTTGATCTACATTGATTCTCTTTTCCGGTGGGAAACGCCCCCATTTTTTATTGTATGTGGGTTTGCCACTTCCAGACTTAATCAACTTTTCTCTCAAATTTGAATGGCATTTCATCAGAATTGGGGTTTGTTTCTTTATGTCAGCTTGGCGCTTACGTTGAACACACAGCATGCGGATCTTATTTTTCCTCAAGAAATAAGTG